TGCAAATTGTGTGTTTATTTAACATGTAAACAAAATCAAAATATGGTTTACAAATGCGCCAGCCAAATGGATCTCACTCATTCTCTCTGTATCGAACATTTAGCAAGCTAACAACTCATTTAGTGTCGCACAGATAATTTTAGCATTTTCACAAATTGCGACTTGTCTCCTCTTTTTTTACTACAAAGACTGCGTTTTAATCGTGTCGTGAAAGCGAGTATTTACGGCTTTCAAAGCAATTAATTGTTCATTTGGTGGTTTTTCGCTACGTGAATCGGCCGTGTAACAGTTATCGACGTTAACTAAATCATCCATGTACAAGTACGTTCACTGGAACGGCATATATCACACTCGTAGAAAAAAAAATGAAGAGAAAAGCAAATACACATTGAGCATTCTTATCGGTCCTTGTGCTTTCTTTCGCACTCCATTTGAAATGTGTGAAATATTTCAGCAACACACAATTATGGCGACAACACTGTGCGCGCACACATTTTTTTTTCTTCTATTTTACTCCAATAAAATGGTAAGAGAGCCATTAAAGCGGTGCAAAAAGTAGCGGGATGTAAAATCAAAGAAGGAAATTTATGCCAATGGAAGCAATTCATTAAAGCGTTTGACAAGTGCTCTTCAGATTGACGTAATAAGAAATCGCATTGAAAATGCCGTCTAAAGAGTCGAAGAGTAGAATGGAGAGGAAAAAACGGAGAAACACCAAACATCTTCTCGTTTGATATAATTTTTGCCATTAAAGTTTTACGTTTGCGGGTTTCGCATCGGTAATAATTGACAGAGACGAGAAGCTGTGAGTGCAGAATATGGCAAAAATATGTTACAGGAAATTAACGACTAAGAAAAAAAAGCGTTAAAATCGTAATTCCGTTGAGGCGAAAAAAACGATGGCAAATTCTTCGTATAGAACTATGTCAATGGTGATATCATTTCGTTGGTATTTATGAAATCGTTGTGGATGCTTGATATGAATTTCTATGTTTCGTTTTACTCATTTTCAATCGCCTCGTGCAAAAGCGTGTTGCACTGGTAAATTACTTTTCACGTAATTTATTATTGTTCTGAATCGTTCTCTGGCACTTTATTTCATGCGCGTAGCCAGGCAAAAAAGTGTTACATCGTTTGGATCAGTTTGAAAAAAGTACTTGGTTTGACACTTTAATTGCACTTATGGTTCGTTCTCGAGCATTCGACGCTGGCCACTGCTTACATAAACCCATCGGAATGTATAAATATGCCATTTCTTGACAAATTTATCGCTTCGCGGCTTTTGTATCGATTCATACTAACTTTCTGCCGATGTACTGTACACACACACACCGAATCGAAACAAACTTGCCGAGTAATTGTGTTGGCTGAACAGCAAGCTGAATAGCGAACATTGTTTTCGCAATGGCAAAATGATTTCGAAAAATCGGTCAATGAACAGTAGTAGCAGAAGAAGAAAAAAAGCGGGCAATTATCATCGATACCACATTGCGATAAGTATGTTTCTTTGTGAATGCTTCGCTTCGATTCGAAGCGAGTTGTTTTCTTTTCTTCGCTTGCAGAATGTTTAAAAGTTAATCGATTTCCACATTTCTCTACTCTTGCCGCGAGTGTAACAGAACTTTTCTGCTTTGGTGGAAATGCGAGACTTTAGACTATAGGCGACTGAGTTAAAACCGCAACAAGAACAAGTAAAATATGTCCAGACAGTCAACCAATTCAATGAATTAAGTACGACGAGTGCACGAGATCTTGCTGGAAAGGTACACATTGCGCTATCGCTTGTAAATTGCAAATGTTTTTAAATGGTTAAATGCTTCTTGTTTGTCGATAATTAAATAGTATTCCCTCGAGAGATAAATGGCACCGGTGTCGCATCTCTTGTGCTAGTGTGGGCCGTGTTGTTTCATCTCGAAACATGAGTTTATAAGCAACGCTGTGTACGGGTAAGGTTTTTTTCTGCTGTGTGGCAGAAGCTAGTGTGTGTCTCGCATCTCGCACCGAAACCAAATCGAAACCAGTGGATAGAAACGATTGGGCTCTGCTTTTTCGTGCATTGAACGAAACGAAAATGAGTTGAGCTAGATAGATGTACGCGATATTATACGTACCTTGGATATTGAGTCAAGTAAAAACGCTTGTCTCGACTGTCTTTTTTTCCCTTTTGACGCACGGTTTTATTTTATGAGCCGTTTGGAACAAGCATTTCGCACGGAAAGTTTCATACCGGAAAATCTCATAACTAATCCAGTTTCGAAGCAAAACAACAAGACTTCATGACTTCCATTGCTGGCCCGGGAAGAAAAAGACAAAAACGCGATTTTCATTTTCATGCCGAAGGTTTTTGTGTGTCTGTGGTTGTACTTCATTGACGGGCGGTTCAATTACAAGCGCTCAACACACGGTGTAGAATTGTTTGCGGTACACACACAATATTTCCGTGTGCCTGTGCATGGGAATGAGTTTTTTTGTTTTATTTCACGTTCAACATAAACTGAAATAGTGACATAAACAATAAAGAAGATAATGAAGTACATTTGTTCGTACGACGACGATGACAGCAGCTGATACACTTTTTCTGCCCTTACAAGTTGCAACACGACGACTGACTCCATCATCATCGACAAAGTACCAAAGTTTAAATGTTAATGTGATGATTTTTCATTTAATATCTCACAAGATAAACGCACCCATTTCACTTTCTCTTTACTTCATTTGTGTATAAACGCATTGCTTCATTACACAACAAAAAGAACCGTCAAAACATAACCAGATAAAACGTAATGATAAAACGTAATGAAGACTGGGTTAAACAAATAAAGAGGTAAATTACAGCAAATAGAATATTTTCTACTTTCTTCGTAAAGTTGAAGATTACGTTCGACATTCGCTCCATTTGCACCAAGCGTTACGTCATGAACTCTAACAAGTGGCAACCAAACAAATGCAAACATCTTGTGCAAACATATTAAAATATGATAGAATTACCACCGTTGGTTATTCGCTTGTGCATCTCCCTCTCTTTCTCTCTCGTTCTCATTCCAAATGATAACTGTTTATGAATGTTTCCATTCAAATTGCATTTGCCATCCGTTGAAGTTTTCGGTGAAGAGTTTCGGTTTAATTAAATACTTTTTTTTCCATGTAAAGTTTCTGTAAATTTGGTACTTCATTTATTGAATTTGTTTGCCATTTCAAACTATGTGATGATACACTTGAAAGTCGAAAGTCGTGCTTGTTGTCTGACGAAGAATGTAAACTTGGGTCTACAGAGAAAGTTGATTGAATTATCATGTCAAATCAAATGTGATTCTCATTGACAAAGTTTTGTACAAAAACATCATTCATCTCTTCTGCTCGAGAACCGATTCACACTTATTCCGTATCAATTGACATTGAATTGTGTTCAACGAAAGTTTTCGCTGAAGTATTCAATGCTCTCACATTCGTGCGCTATTTGGATAAAATCAAGCCTTTTGAAACTTTAATATGTGAATGACATGACTTCTCACATTGTACTCAAACTTCTGTATTCATACATTATTGCTGGCTATTTCGAGCGTAAATAGAGATGCAACGAAATTGAAGAGAAAAAAATACGGCGCTCGCAGAAGATCAGAAATTCATCATCATCATTGAATTACGAATGCATTACAATATTTATGGTTTTCATTTTGAGTTGAGTTGTTCCTTCTGCCTCGAGATATTTTCCTCATACATGCAACGGAGCATCTTGATTTGTTTAGTGCATGAAACACACAAACATTTTGCAAACATTCAACGAAATAATATGGCAACAGAACGGAGAATAAAAAAGTACATGCCGGTCGGTATACGTTGCTGTCGCCGTCGACAACGATATTTGTTTTTGACAGCCATCAGCATTGAGAATGGAATTGACGAAGCAAAAGTTGCAGTAATAGACTTTACGGTGGATATTGTTGTTTTTGTGAAGCCAAATACTCGAAATTAGTTACTGTTTTATTGTGTACGCTCCGTTACAACTACAACTACAACTCTGTACAAATATGGCCCTTTGCAAAATACTTTGCGCAAACATTGCTGCATTCGATGGAGGAAAAGTTTCACATTTTTGGCATTTTCCAGCATTTGTTTCAGTTTTTTTTTTCTGTTGAAATATTTAAATTTGGAAAATTGAATATTCGCCATGTTTGCTTTTCGTCCACAATTCTTCTGCATTTTCACGTGTTCAACGTACGAGATTTTTCGTGCACGAGACAAAGTCGTAATCAACCGTCGATCCGAACCGGTTATCTTATATATCTTGCTTGGTATATGTTGAAATCCAAAAATTTGCTATCCAAATAATAAAGCAATGAAATGTTTTTCTCATTCTCTGCCGCTCCCATCTCCATATTTAATGTTATTTCCGGGAGGGTTTTCCCATGTTATCTCTGATACGCTCCAAAAACTTTGCACGTGCCATTTAAACACGACGAAAAACGTAGCGGGCACATTCTATTGAGTTGAGTTTTTTTTTCGTGTGTGTATACAATAACACGGCAACAGCTAGATGCATTCGTCCGGACATAAAACTCGAGTGTTCAATTCAATATTTGAAGAGAAATGGTTTTTGTGCAGCGGCAAATGTTTGCTTTTTCAACGAAAAAGTTTATTTTTTTCACGGTGACAACGAAAATCGATTTAATTCCATATTCACAAGCGATGAATTACATTGATTCTGGTGCATGCAATCGACAGGAAGTGTGGCCGCTCATAAGATTTCATGTTCGATGGATAAATCAAACCCATGCGGAAATCGATCTGAAACCGTTCGTACTAATAATGAGCAAATGATAGTAATAATTCGGGGTTTTGGTGTAAATTCAACATGTTTTTCATCGGCCATAAACATTTTAGCGACACATCATCGCAGGTTGCACGCGATATTTTCATTACCGTGCTTATCTCGGAGAATTAGTTGCATCCATATAAAATATGACTGAATTATACGGATTCAGTCCAGTAATTTCAATACTTTTGAACTGTTTACATCGAAATGAAGTCAAATATCATTACATTTTTGTCCGTGTTAATCGCTCTGTCACTGGTTGGCCAGAGTTTGGCATGTGATATGAAGAAACAGAATAAAACCAGTCGTGCTAAACGTGATATGAGTGACATGGTTGTGCAAGGGGTTGCTACAGCCGTGGGCGTAATTCAGCAGGGCGCAGCCATCAAAGGGAATTGGTCTGTAAAATCTGGTAATTAAAAGCAAATATGATAATTGATTTCCATATTTAAAAAAAAACGCTATCAAATATTCACGACAAGGTGACAAGGAGATGGGGCATAGTTATAAGGCGGGAACTGGAGATGCAATGAAAGATGAGGAGCCATCGAGTGAACGTCGCAAACGAAGCACAGAGAATGAAAAAGTTGCATTCAAACATGGCAATGTTATGAGGGAAGATAGAAAAAGTGGTGTTGTACGTGAAAAACGCAGCTCACATCCCAAATTTATGCCAGTCGAAATGGTTAAATCTCTGGCCGATACGCTTCTGCGATCAAAACGACAGACTGATGGTCAACAAATGCCTGGAATATCTGGTGGTACCAGTGGTTCTTTTGTTGATAGTATGAAAAAAATCTTCAACAGCGCAATAGCATTGGGCAAACAGTTGTTCGCAACCGTTCAACAACACTTTAAGGGACAGCAAGACGGACAAAAAGGAAATGCTGAAACAATGCAATAATTTGATTTAGATTTCGTTTCTTTGCTTCTTTCTGTGTGAGTGATTTTGAAATGCCAGATTAAAACCTACATTCAAATCCAATCAAAAGGAATTTTCATTTTGTTGACATTTCGGTAAAATTTGTTTTATCATCCAATCGTTTCACAAAAAAAATGGAATGCAATCAATGAAAAGCACGTAATTATTATCGAGTGGTGTTTTTCTTTCGAATGTCCATTTTACCCCAAATGAACCAGCATATTTACCTTTGATTTCGATAGCCCATACAAAATTGAAGAAATTCCATTTCGTGCACGCAATTTCCTAACCGATAAAAAAAACGAACCAACTTTTCAATTAAATCAGAGAAACGTATGGTCATCTATATGGTTAACGACCCCCTCGAACCATCTAAAATTGAATCACATTATGACCAGGTTGATTTCTTTTTTCTATTGAAACGAAACCAAGCGAAGCAAAAAACACCAACATTCCATGGGCCGGTCTCCATTCAATTGCCTGCGCTATTTTCCTTGATTTCCTGCTTCTAACATTCACTTGTGTCTGCTTTGTTCGACAAATTCCTATTCTCATTCGTTTTCCACTTCTCGGTAAATTGAATTTCACATACGAAAATCTAATGACAATTTTCCACGACTTGATTCATAATAAATTTACCATGGGCACTGACACACTTATACAATTTCTGCTTTTAAAATAAAACAAACAATCGATAAGAGAAAAATCCATCATAAAAAAAACGCAACAAACGATCATACATACACGATGTGTTAGTGTTTAGTGGAGCAAATGGTGAAACTACGCCTTCGGTTGAATAAATGGTCTTAAAGTGTCGTTGTAATATTTTATGCAAATGCAAACCATAAAATCATTTATCACAATTACACTTCTATGGAGACGACGAATTTCGTTCGTCCCCTTTCCGCATTCACGTTGACGTCCGATAAATAAGCATTCGTGCACGCATTGTGTAAAAAGTGCTACAAATCACGAAATCAAATGCTTCACTGATATCGACTGCATTTCGTTTTATTAGCACATATAGTAGTTTTGATGGTAGTAAATATCGCAATTGATGCAATTCTACGGTAAGAATAATGCCTCATTTGAAATGGTATGCAGAATTTAGAAAATTGAAATGGGAATTCGGCTGAGAACATGATTTCGGTTCGTGTTTTGGTCACATAAGCCTATGAGTGTGTCGTTGCATGAAACGGATGGATTAATTTAGATGAAGGCACCGTAAATATTGAAGAACAGCCTCTAGGTAACATCCGTAAAACCAGGGCCTATACTACATACATGTCGCTCAGCAGTGTAAGCACAAAAGAGTTTGCAAATAGAAACGAAGTGGCAATAAAATCAATTATCCATTTTATGGAATCAAATTGGTTGTGTACAATGATAAACGGGCACAGTCGTTTGCATTTACAAAGAACATACATCTTTCATTAATTGAGAGTGGAGATTACCTTTGCGCTTGAACGAAAAACACATATTCGAATTTAAAATGGTCCTTGCGCATGGAATATTCCGTATTCGTGATGATATAAAATTCTTATTTGTTTACTACATTTTGTACCATATGAGAAAAGAGTCAATTAACTCGTGTACTGCGAAAATTTATGGAAAATATCATGTGTTTCCTTGCATTACATCATAAAGATACCCATCGAATTCTAATGAATCTTGTTTCAGCACATGGAGCTATGGAAACTTTGACGGAAAATCAATAGAATGTCATGTTTACAAATGAACAAGAGCAATTAAATTCATTAGGTGAAATGGTATGGCTCTTATCAATGAATGGAATCAAAGAAAATGGAAGCGACTGTTGTGCCGATTCGGAGTATTTCATCGAATAATATTTACACGTTTATATACGTCTTTTAACAATGCGGTTTTCGACGTAAACATTTTTTTAATTAATCGATTGTTTTTGAATTTTAAGACGAACCAAAACTATTGTTTCATAGTGTTGAAATTGTTGGTCATGTCAATTCATTTTCAATCAGTAACTGAAATCATCAAATATGTCTAAAAGTATAGAAGTAGAAATTGTAACATGCATGCAATCCAATCAAAAATGGTGATATGATACGATTGCGCACAGTTTGAATAAAAAAACTGCAATAATGATTCGGTGTCAGTAATAAGTCGTAAATTGGAATAATTAAAACTCATTTTCATGTCATGTCATGTTAATTATCGAAATATTATTTAATTATCAAGTAATTAAGCCTAGATTTTTCTAAATAAAAAGCAAGTGAAACTTGTTAAGCATTCAGTTGACTGTAAACTCTGGCCGTTTTTGAACGACTTCAATCAAGAAAGCTGCAAAATGGATTTTAAAATTTTTACGTTTTCAGTGTTAGTTGTAGTTTTGTTTGTGTGTAAATTGGGTGCGACACAAGGCATACCCTCTCCGAGCATACCGTCCGGTATACCTTTTCCGAACATATCATCCGACATACCTTCTCCGAGCATACCATCCGACATACCTTCTCCGAACATGCCGTCGAGCATCCCAGCCGGCATGCCATCTTCACCCGGCGAGATGGCCGAACAAGCTCAAGGAGCTGCAGCTTCGGCCACAGCCGATGCTGGGAACGCTGTGGAAACGGCTAAAAGCCAAATACCGCCAGCACCAGGCAAGAAGTGAAATAAAAAACAATCGTTGGTAACCGAATATCAAATGATCGTAAAAATTCGAAAAAAATTTCTATCGCACAAAAACTATTTTGATTTTTATCACAGGAGAAGCTGGCCTATGTCAAGCAAAGAGCACATTACTGATTGCACGCAAAAAACAAACGAATTCCGAAGGAAGATCCACTTAGATTCACTGAAGTAGAAAATTGGAAAAGAAACTCACTCTCTATTACGGATTGTACAATGCCGACAGTACTGTTATTTGAAAGCAAGGCACCACCCTGAAAATCCAACTTACTGAAAATCCAATTTATTGCACAGATATTCTGAACACTTACAATTCGTAAAATAAAGTGCAATCATTTGTGGATTTGAAATGCATCTCGACGGAGTTTTCATTCCAAAATTGTTAATCATTTGAACTTTAGCAGAATATCAATTGAATTCATTCGCAAAATCAATACGAAAATTGATTCAAACTTGGTAAGTTTGAATTCACTTCATAAATTTCTAAAAACAACAACAACAACAACAACAACAACAACAACGTCGAATTCTTTGAAGACAAAATATATTGCATTCAAACGGTACGACTGAGCATCATCTATTTTATTAGAAACTTGTGCTTGCATGTTGCAAAATGTATTGAAAATTCCTGCTTCGGTTGTAAATACATCGAAATGTCAGTTTACCAATTCATTAAATAAGATAACAGGCAAATAACATTGTGTGTAAATGGTTGAGTGGCTGGAGTGTGTCTATTTGATTCGGTATTAGTAAATTGAATTCCACGATGGGCCCATGCCAACGAAGATTAATCGAAACTGCAGTCGATTATTCAGTCAAGCATTTTAATTGATATTTTGAATTTTGAGATATAATTCACATGATGTGCATAAATTGCATGGACGTGGAAAGGGGCACTTTGTACATGAAAGTTCCTACTGTTTTGTAAGTATGTGATGATGTGTATGATACTTATTGATTTTCGATGTGAATGTGTGTGTGCGCGCGCGTCATCTCATGGCTGAAATTAATGTGTCGAGGGTGCAACGAAATCTATTCATTTGCATTCACGTGGAACAAATGACGAGAATGTTTATTATATGGTCAAAACCAGCTTGTCTTGTTTACAACATGATTAATGATTGCTTTATTACGGCGCATAGTCAACAAGGTGACGTCAACGTCTGGAATTTCTCGAAGTGACAAAAATAACAAGTTCCTTTCAACTTTTATGTCAAAAAAGTCAACGAAATTTCGTGCAGAATATTTTGTATTCTAAGCATTTGCTAGTGGGAAATCAACGACACATTTGAAATCATCTTCAATTAATTCGTTGTTTGCTCAGACTGAAATAAGACAAAGAATAATAATGCAGTTGTCTCGTTACGAGTGGAAAATGAAATGTTTCGCAGTCTCGTTGCATTAAGTGCTTTCTCTCTCTCTCTCTCTCTCTCTCTCTCGCTCTCTTTGTTCTTGTGCCAACATCTAAAGTTTTCGCATGCAATGCAATAGTTTGCGTCGACAATATTTTCTCGTTTTGTGTCAAATTACATATTCGATGATGTCTTTTAAAATTAGTTTTTATGTTGAAAAATAAAAACGATAATAAATTTTGCTGTGAGCAAGCATCAAAAATGCCAAATATTTGGCAAGCAAATGTGAATCTAAAAACGAGCAACAGCTGCACTGGTATGTTGATAAAGCGCCAGCCACCACGGTGCGTATGATTGAACAAGAGTCTGACAATCTTAAAACATCAGAAAATGGCTCTCGGAATACGGAATTTACTGCCACCATCAATTTATTACAAGGTTTTAATTTTTAATGCAATAAAATATCTCTCCATTTTCTCTCCTCGGCTCGGTCGTCGGTGCCGGTTGTGTCGTCAAGCAAATTGTGTATGCCCTGAACAACAACCGTTTTCACGTCAGTTTTGATAAATTTTGCTGATATTTTCATGTTTCACCGTAACTCAAATGACTCGACTTGTACTCACGTATCAAATGACAACGCTCATTTTTTACCACCAAATCGATGTTTTGTGTACCACCACCGTACAACATAGTTCTTTGCTCGCTCCTTCGTTCGCACGTTTACCACCATTTGTAAATGTCAGAAATAATTTCGAAACAAAAAACAGCGATGTCGAAAAAGCGGAAATACCCGCAACATTCGGTTTTATCGAATGCCATTAAACAAATAGCTTGTAATACAAGCACAGGTAATCGGCCGTTCGAATATTCTAATGTCACAATATTTCCAAACTCAATTTTCGTCAATCCATAAATATTGTATTTCATGAGTTTTAAATGTCGCATCAAAACCCTTTCGAGCTGAATTCGACGCCAAAACAATCGAACACTTGTAATCTATCATCGCTCCCAGCACAAATGCCATTTCATCGCATTAATTAAACTTGATTTAATTTATGCATCAAAACATCAGGCAACTCAAAATACCCGATTCTGAGTGGATTGGAAAAGTTCTACTCTAGCATATAGCTGTTATGTTTAATTTTCAGCGACACAAGGGTTGAATTGGCTTCAATGAAAATTGCGTAGTAAGCGAAACGATATCAATAAAAAACATCAATCGAATGTTGATTCAAACATCTTTTGATTTGGATGTCTTTCGACAACAAATTCTCTAGGCACGTGAAAAGTCACCCTTCGTAAAAAGTCATCCCATAAGCAACAGCTCGTTAGTACTTCCTCGATGGCACCGAGATATTGAGACATTGCATGCGATAGTAAAATATGATTTACTATTTCGAAATCAAATGAAGTGCTGCATTGAACGGCGCGCGTTCACTGCACAAAGTGCGAGTGACGAAGGGGAAGGGAAATTAGTTGAATAGATGGTCCAATCTACACTTGCGTTGCATGCGAGCTGCCGATGGGTGCGATTTCTGTGTACGGGTTCTTTTTTTTTACACGAGTGCATGTGTGGCGCGTGGTGTTGACTTGAGCATTGTTTGTATCTCATTACGATTTTTATCCGTGGTAATTTGTCAAAAGAGCATGAACATTATAATCGACAAACAGGTTCGTAGCGGCGCCTTGAACCACAGCAAATATTACGCAATTGCATTTTCTCATGTGTGCTCGCTTTGCGCAGTGGTGAAAGAGAGAAAAAAAAAATATTAGGCGGAGTTGCATTCTTGCATAACTCATGATAATAAATTAAATGACTTTCGTTCATTTTTTTAGGGATTCTCCCTTTGTTCGTTGCACACTAACGCACATGTTCATCGCTTTTTGAATACACGGAAAAATGTGTACTCGCTCTAATCTCATTATACGCTTTGTATTTGTACTACGGTTCGAAATAGCAATTTAAATAGGCAAAAGCCGTTGTTATTGCCCATTTCTTTGTTGTGTGGTACTCTCGCTGACTTACTGAACTCATAAAGCAGGACAACAAATGAAAGTCGATTTACAATGAGCATTACGGCAACCGAACTAATCTATCGACGCCATTCATGCATCACGTAAGTGATGCTGCAGTCGGGTCGTGTGTGTGCGTGCTGTGCTGTGCACACACACACACACCAACGTCAATGAACCTTTGCATTCTGTTCATTAATTCGTAACGAATTTTTCCGAGACAAAAAGGAATTCGGCGAATAAAAAATGATTGTTCTGGCCGGATGCAGTGTCGAGGCTATTAGAAAGGAATTCCATTTTCTTATCAGCAATTTGGCGTCGGAGCACAGCAAATTTGAACAACTTCCCACACTCACTAACCATCATAAACATTTTTATTACTTTGGTCTCAATAACAATGAAACTTCATTTTTTTTTTCGGCCAGCGTATCTACAAATTTTCACCACATTCCTGACTTGTTTCAGGATCTCAAATTCGTTCCGCATGTAAAAAGTTGGTTTTTTGCCAAAAATCCGACCACACTGATTCAAACCGAGTTGTGCTCAATCACCCTGGAAGCAAAACAGAAACTTTGGATTTTATTGAACCGAATAATTACTTGTAATTGCTTAATAGCTTCATTAGCATTCGTCGATTGGCCAGTAATACAATCCGAATTAGAAATCTGTGTGGATAGAATTTTCGCATTGTTTGTACTTTAATTACATTTGGTTAGGGCTTCGATTCTTAGGCATACGGTGGAAGGGCCAAAGTAGAGTTGTTATTAAGTTCAACGAAAAATAAAATGTATGTCTTGTGTGCAACGGCTTTGAACGTGTGTGACACATAAAATTCTTCACAGTTCGTGGTAAATCGATTTCGAATACACCTATTTCGTGACATGGCATGCCGTTTCACCGTTCGGTTCAATAAATAACAATCGACTTCGATTTCATTTGAACAATGGCAACGTAGTTCAGCCATTCGAAAGTACGGTGAAAAAATAAACTGAGTGAGCATACATGCACAGAGATAACAACGAGAAAAAAAAATCGACAATATCGACCGAATGGAATTAACGGCAAAAAAGGCGAAACATATAAATCGTAGAACTCCCAAATGCCACACTATATGGCTCTATCTTATCTGCAGCAGGCAAACTTTCGTATCGCATTCAGGAAGCCAGACAATGTACAGATACAGTAGCGTGTATACGTGTGTGCACCACCGTAGACAAGACACATTCAAATCCGAATTGAATAGCGCGACCGACGATGACTCACCCACCACTGTGTGAATGTGTATAATTGTATGCACGTTTATATCCATCTCTCGATGTTTGTATGAGTGTATGTTCGTATGGGCTAGAAGCAGTGGCTAGAATCGGTGAAGTTGCAGTGTATCACATCAACAACAAACCACTTGGTTGTCTCTAGCTTCGTGCCAATAGACCAGAAATATAGTCAACAGTGAACCATGTAAATATTTACCGCGCAAAGCCAATGCCTATTTTTCGATGAAAAAGTCGCAAAATCCGATTATTTGCATCTCATTCATTCATACAATTTTTTTCCGTTGTCATTGTTATGCAGTGAACACTTGATCTAACGCTTATGCAATGCGTGCAATTTCGTCTACTATATTTCCCTTCTCTCTCTCTCTCTCTCTCTTACACACTCTCAACGCTTCTCTGGTCTTGCATTCTCTCGCCCCCTGATTACGCATTCTCATTTAATTTTTCATTTGTATTTATAAATTTACATGCCATTCGTCTCTTGTACAAACATCACGAACAATAACAGGCACCGACGCATGTATTAAAAATACCGCTATACGCGCGTGGAATGCATTGTGTGCTACAATATTTATCGGTACAGCGTTTTTCATGTGGCTCGCTCGCCGCCTTTGCAACATGACATGCCTGCATCATGTAGCGCGAAGCGACGTATGTGCTCGATTCATTCGTACGAATGTACACAATGTTCAGTGAAAGTACTATTTGTGCGGCTCTTGAGTCTTTGGCTCTCGCTCAGCAAACGCAAACAGAAAAAACCAAAACATAACACAACCGAACATGTGACACGCAAATTCATTCTTAGATTCACTACGCTAGCGTTGTTGCAACATGTTTCATAGTGTGTGCGCCGCAACAAGCAACACTTAACAACACGGAGAATCACACAAGCACGTTCGTCTCCGTCTCCGTCTCGTACTACCAAGCACGCCGTCGATACATTTCGCTCTCAGTTATAGTTCAACGCTCGCTGAGTTTAGACGTGAAATCAGTGTTGTCTGCACGCTCTCACGACAGACGACATCCCATCGAAGAACATTTTAAGATTTTACTCTCATATTTTCGAACGATTTAGCAAACAACAAAAATCGACGGTGACAAATCCTAAAACCAGAGTAAAAAAAAAACAATGTGAACGAAAGAGAGAAAGAGCGAGAGAAAAAAAACACCGCCCGACGACTTTTTCCGGTTTGCCAATCCACAAAGTATTATAAGAAAGAAGTTTTTCGAAAATTCAGTGTTAGTTTTTCGTGAATGAGTGCGTGTGTGTGTGTGTGTGCGACGATGGAAGATAAAACCGCCGAGTTTTCCACTGTCTGCGAATTGAATTGAAAACAATAAATTGCCAAATAAAGACGACCAAAAGCAATTATTTGTATGTGTGCGCCGTTTTTGGCTTCACCGATACTGCAACCAAGTGCTTAAGTTAAACTATCTGTTTGTGTCGCAGAAGTTTTCGGGTGACTGTTTTTTCTTTCTTCTTGGCTGTTCGTTCACACAGCAGCCGCAGGACAATTTGTTTTAAATCCATGTAAATTTTGCGGATTCCATCAAAATCCGTGCGACGAACATTACGATTGATTGATTTCAGACAAGGATTCATTTGTATCAGGCAAAGTTCTTTTTTGAACTTTTCCATGTCGCTTCAATTGAATCGAATTGCATGCAATCAATCAACGAATTGGTTTAAGTGATTTTTTTTCCCCAAGGCAGTCGCTCGCACGCAAAGCAGTGAGTGAAATAGCGCGACCCTTGGATTAAAGCCAACTTTTCCAATGTTGTCAATGGCATCCGATCTCCAAAGACAAAGATAGCGCAATAATTAGATTTAAAATCAAAAGCAAAGTCTCAGAACGCGAAACGCATTGAATTTAAATTTGCTGCTACTTTTCCCTTCATTTGCGTACTCGTTTTCAATATGTATCCAATTTAGAAGTTTTTGTGTTTTCGATGAAAAAAAAAATGTGAACGAAAAAGAAACAAACTGAAAGATACGAAGAAGAAAAACGAAACAATTTCAAATTGATAGAAAGAAAGAAAATTGAGAATAGAATTAAATTTAGAATGTGTGTTGAATGTGATGAAAAAATGAATCTGAAAGTGTGAAGCGACGAGCGATTCGGTCAATCGCCACGAGCGAAACGATGCACAATATGGAATGTGTGCTGCTCAATATTCGGAAATGATTAAGTAGCTGCTCAACAACAACAAACGAACCTGAATAAAACAAAAAAATATACGAATATCGTGAATGTGATACAAGTTGTGGACATCTGACATCGAAATTCAAATATGCGAGGCATAACAATGAATTGATACGCTACACATCGAACGTTGAGCCGCACACTCTTGATGCCAACGACAACTTGTGAAAATGAAAAATTTAAACCAACGAAAAAGAAAAGAATTTATAGACAGTCGTCGAATAAATGAAACACGCGACCATCGAACGCGCACACACCAATGCTTATTTTAACGCGGAGAAACAATGTCGAAATCATTTTCCGTGTGTGTTTTATTTTGGCTGTGCGCGACTTTTTTCGAACATCAAACAGATTTATTGATACAGTTTACGCGTACGGCGTACGCGGTGTCTCTTTTCATCTCATTTTGTGTGAGATGCGAGCAAAACGCGGCCACCACTCGCTGTGCTACTAATTTAAATTAATTTTTATTATACTCGACATCAATAAGCCCCGGTGATTGTTGCTTGGCACACAAATATTATGATCGGTCGAAAAAAAGCCAGCCAGCCAGCCAGACAGCCAACGCACGCTGTAAAGAGTGTGGAAAATTAATTTTAGCAAATGAAAGACATGCGAAAAATTCGTCATTGATTGAAAAGCGCGATATTTCAACGCAGAAAAACTCGATGCAAAGAAGAAAAAAGATGCAATGAAAGCAAATCGAAAATAAATTGAAAGCAATGCGAAATTGGCGTCAAGCCAACGTGCACTTTGTATAATGCACTAATTTCACTGTTGGAACTGAACGTCTTATCATTTATCTTGCATTTGGTAGGTTCTTTCTCTTCACAATTTCAAGTGATTCATTGGCCAGTTTAAAGGAATTCTCACTCGATAGATAAATTAGTCGATTAGATTGAATGCTCGATGGAAAACTATTTTCGAGCTGTGTAAGTTTGAGAAATTAATTCAACCAAAAGACGGAACAGATTGAGAGAAGAAGTGTTTGAATGCTGGGCTGTACAAATGGATACGGTGCCGATGAATAGTGACAGGCAAGAATCGATTAGTTGCTGCCGTGGAAATTGAATTGAATGCTGAATTTTGCAGCATCAGCAGATTCATTGAAAGTCAGGCCGTCGTTCGTTGTGCACTTAATTAGACGTCTTGTATTCGATTTAATCGCTCAAAATCACCATCACCGCCCCCCTATTTCTGGTGTATCGGGCTCTGAGCATTGTCATTGTGTGCCACCCTCCACTCACAATGGCAACCATGATCAAAAGTAATCATGGTATTGTTTGGTTACGGTTCTTGTCGATTTCTTCATACGTTCGTCATCAAAATTTGTATACGTGTTTGAACTACGATTTGCAACGGGTGCGCGCCTAGCGCGCATTCATTCTTCATTGTTAAAATTGGGGTGTTATGCTTCAGTGCGTTTTCTCTTGATGCACAACATTTCATGTGATCCACTGAAAAGATCTTAGGCAGCTGAGTCTGAAACGACGAGTGTCAATTATCGATTGAACACGACGCTATTCATTGATGCACAATTCGCCTTGAATGAAATGCTTTTTCGGCGCGACGATGACGCAACCAAAATACCCATATTACCCAAAAAAATTTATGTCTACACCAAAAAGTGGAAATTGGGCTTAACACACTTTGGCAATTTACGCTCCAGTCCGTTATATTCGAAGATGCATGAAAATTATGCAATAAATAACTGCTTGATATAGCATATTGGCCATTGCATTGCAGTGCAACGCTTGTTGAGAATTTCAACGATGCTAGCCCAACCGAATAGCAGTGCCTGCTCCGGCCCATACACCATTCACAAATTAAAGTAAACGATGCAGTCATGATACAAAATGAACATTTTAAAACAAATGCGCCAATGTGCAATTAAATTTATCTACTGAAAATGGAATTTTCTAAAACAAAATGCAGCCAGCGAAAGAGAGAGAGGGAGAAAGAGAAAAGAAACAGCAGGCTATGTTTTGTGTAGCAAATATTTTGCTTTTTTTGTATGAACGCAAGAAATACAAAACTATGCATTCATTGGTACAAGGTATAGCTATATACACGACGTGGATTACGAGTATTTATGTTGGATTTTGACTTTCGCCGCTTGCATATCAGCACGCAGCGTAACCAAATATCCCCAACATTCAAAGCCAATGAAAAGAAAGTGTACAATGGACAACCGTATGATGTGTGTGTGTAATTAAATCGGATCGATTCGACGAATTCCAGTTTATTTCTTTGCATTCTGTATTCTTTGTGGTTCTGATTCAGCATGCGTGGCAAGGAGATTCAAATGCTTAAGCTACAAAATGTCTCTCGCTCTTGCTTTCTGTGCTAATGCAAATGTAAATACCAACAGCTATCATTTTCCATGAATTAAACGGTTCGAATAACCGAAACTGATTACTATTGTTGCGCTTGTTTGCAGCACAAGACATTGTATTGATGCTGTTGCTTTTGCTGGTCTTTGTCATGTTTTTGTATTGTATTTTACTTTACGACATATTTTCATATGGTATTTTGTTACATTCATTTTCTTTGAACGGGTTCAACAACAAGGGACTGGCCAGAAAATCCTTTTGTATGCGACCAGAATAGGAGCACCTTTTCTATGCTCGATCTCTGTTCGGTTGGGAAATTCGGTCGTTCAAAATCCTATGACAAAATGCGTTGTAAATAAAGTGTACAACAAAATGGATCGATGTGAAATTACTATTGAGCGGAATGGAATGGACTTGCCATTGACTCAAAATTCTTTTGCAAATTCCCATTTCTCTGGCACAGAGAAGCATTTTTGTGTTTAACTCAATGCATACAATCCAAAGCATGAACGCTAAAATATGCGATAAGTGTGTGTGTGCAAACCGCCAACCCCTCAGGGAAAATTAGTAAATTTTAATGAGATTTTGAAATTGGAATTGGTGCCGATTTCTTTTGTATTTTTCGTTCATTCCCACACTTGCCATAGAAATCAATATTCGCTTCTTTCATCAGTAGACTTAACTACTCATGTTCAAAAACCAATAGAAAACGCTCGGGGAAATACAACTCGAAATTACGTGTCGAACAATAAACTAGGCTCACTTTGAATTAATTCAAAACATGAGTATGAATTCCCCTTCGCACTTGTTCTCGTCGGCTCGTTTTGCTTTCATTCGTTGTTTTTTTCTTCTTTTCATCGATTGCGTTTATCGACATGAAATATGCTGACATAGTGGGAAAGTAGCAAGTAGAAAAAACGGCGATTATTTACCTAAAACATGTCATTTCCAGAGAAGCTATTATCCAACCGAGGAAAAAAAATCAATTTCGTCTCGAAAAAAAAAGAGTGAAAAACATGGAACTGTAATTGAAAGCCAAATAAAGTTACATCTCGTTGGAGTGAGAGAGAGAGAGAAAGAGAGAAAAAAGGGTGGAAAAAACGTTATCATAGTCATTTTCAACCCTTCACATTTCATGAAGTGGTTTTAGGTTATTGACATCCCAACCGCAACGCAATAAATACGAGTTTTATTTGACGGTGTCGGTCACTGAGGGAAACAGAAAGGAAGAGACTTTTTCGATATATAACAAGAGAAATAAAAGTCGGTGTTGTTATCATGCTCCCACCGATAGGTTCACCAACGTCACCACAAGATGTTCAAATGACTGATTTGAATATTTTGACAGTGGCACCGGATTCGATGTCATCACAGCAAAAATTGACATCGCCTGTTGACAATCGGCCATTAAATAACCATTCGCCGCTATCGTTATCATCAGTCAAGTCAACGAACACGCTGCGCAACAACATCGACATGAAAAATGAGCTCAACAAAAAGCGAACATCGCTAAATTTGCACGAAAACGGAAATGGTGAAATGTTTAATGGTTGCGACACATCGTCGACATCATCGGCGTCATCGTCTTCATCAATGGGTCAACAGCCACTGAAATTAGCGACCGTTAAACGTTGTTCACGTAATTTAGATAACATTCGCTATCGAATCGAATTGCAGAACAATCATTCGAACAACGATAATGTCAATAATAATAATAACATGAACGATTCGCGACGATTCAATCAGAGCAGTTCGGATAGTGATGCAACCGAAAACCAGCAAATCGATACGGTTGCTGTAATCGTAAATGAGAACGGTGGCAAAATGCGACGCACCAGACGACGAGCTACAGAAAAATCACAAAATGACAATGCAAAAAACAATGAATCGGATGACGATGATAACAACGAGTTAAACGATCGACAAAATGGCAATGCCAGCGACCGAAGCACACAGAAACGTGATTCGATCACCAGCAAGGAATCCGGTAGTGTTGGCAGCGATGACTATTTTTTGTGCGAAAAATTTAAAAACACATTAAATGCAAAACTATGCGATGCTGTTGTCAATGGCGCCGTCGTATTGGCGGAGGACGGAGCTGCCAACCGACGTTTATCATTAGAATTGCTGAGTCCGCACGAAGGCCCGATGGGTCGACGCTACGCCGAAATTGCACCGAGCAAAAACAATGCAAACAATAAATGGTAAATATTTTTTACTCTCTTTTTCATTTCCCATTCCGAATTGTTGCTCGTATTTTGTTTCTTCGTCTATTTTTATATGTCATTTAGAGAGAGAGAGAGAGAGAGAGAGAGAGAGAGAGAGAGAGAGAGAGAGCCAAACACTCGTGAAAACTCAATTTCGATACGTAATCTACGGCATTAAGACAATAGCAACAAACGAAATAAAAAACAAACAGTAAAACTAAACAAAAGCCAACTATTCGAAATGTTTGTAGCTCATTTGGATTGAATGTGCTTAAGTTTGGGTTGCTCATGCTTTGTTTCACACAGCCCAGAATTCAGCAAATATGCGACTGTGGCAATCAGTCGTGTGTCGGTTGGTGTGTGCATGGTTTTTTTTTCTCTCTATTTCGATTCACAGAGAGAGAAAACGAAAGAAATAGTGAAAACATATAAGAAACTAGCACATGTACAGACAATAAGTGAAATAAAAATCACGAGACTGAAAAATGCCAGTGAAACTTTGGCAATACTTTGTGTTTCATTAGAATAGACACACACAAAAAACAGAGATGGAAAAAAATGCAAGCACTGACACGAACAGTTTTTTTTCCAAGGTTCTGTTCAATGTAGACAACATTTGTTTCATTCATTCTTTTTTTTTTTGCTGCTGCTGCTGCTGCGGTCCATTCAATCCACAAATGATGGTGATGTATGAGAACTCATCCAACGTACTTCATGCTCATTTGCTAGAAAATTGTTGTTGGTTTACCAAAGAATGTGTGCCTCGACTAGACAATAACAATAACAGCAACAGCACCAGCAAAACTAAATTCACTTCTAACCAAAACTAAGCACCATTGAATGCCAAACGTAACACATAATCGTCGACAATTACGCTGCAATTTTTGTTTGGTTTGCCAAAGTTGCTTTTTTTCTTTCCATTTTCATTGAAATTCGGTCGTTGGTTATGTTTTTATTTAGCAAATTCTTTTTAAACGATGCCCTTTTCTATCCACCCAAAATCGCATCGTTATGCCATTTTATTCTCACACCTCATTCCGCGCGTCAATTTAATTGTTTGTATTGTGTGTTTTTCTTCCTATTTTTCTCTCTGCCTCTTCTCGGTCGCCACGTGAAACGCATATAACGCAAAGTCAAATTAAATGGCCATTGATGAGCAGAAACAATGAAACTTAATTTTGTGGAACAAAAACCGAATTTTATTGAATTTGAGTTGTTTTGTGGTGTGTCGTTTTTCACAGTGCCGCAAGTGCCTCCTCAACACTAATCGATAAACCGTCAGACAATTGTCATCACACGCACTCAATTTCGTTGAGCTGAAACTCATTACGTATAATCAAAGTCCAAAACGATTCGTACGAACGAACATTCAATCGAACATTCTTTCACGCACACTTTTTGAATTTAAATTGCCTGTTCGAGGAACGAGAGCGAATAAAAAACGACAACATTTTTGTGTCGAATGGGAATTAGTGGGCATTTATCTGCCGAAGTCGTGCACTCTGTTGATATGAATATAAAATGCGTTGACTCCATGTCGTCGATTATTCGTGGTGCCATACCGATAGAATGATGCTTTTTTTTAATCCATTGTTTGACCGATGAATTTTTTTTTTGGATTGGCTGCCACCAATCACAATCAATGACATGCATATTTTAATCGAAACAAAGCCATTAAACGATGCAGTTAAGACCGTTTCGAGATAGGAACAAGTCAAGTAGAAAATGGAAAACTACTAATAAAGTTACTTGAACACATTCAATAATAATCGACGAGGTTATATGTCAATTCCGATGGAACATTGTGTAATCAGATTGTTCTTTGTCTTGCCGTCGTTGCTTTGGTTGTCGCTCAAACATAGACGCGTAGACGCAAACTGGCACACGCTGTATTGTGCACTCATTTGTGTGCGTATCATTATTTTCGAAATGATGCCGTTAAAATTTATTGTTGGCATTAAAAAGAACTCACACTCATTCTATTTGCAGTGAACAAGCATCTGTTGTTGGTGGAGCGAGGTGCGCGCGCGTCCGCATTGCCTTTGATTTGGAATGTGTAAAAGAGATTCGCAAGCGCTTCGGTCACTTTTATATCAGTTTGTTTGTTCAATTAGGGTTTGTTTTGGTTTTTTTTTGTTTTTAATTCTATTCTTCCTATTTTAATTAGCCACGCATTCTGATAAACTTGATGGCTAATTAAAATCCCTTTTATGACCGGCGGTCACAGCAAATCAGACAATGTTTTGAGTAACTACCGTAAATTACGAGGATTTATGCGATCAATTTGCATAAGATAAATGTGCAAACAGTGAATTAAACGCAAAGAGAAAAGATTCTGTAATGAATTAAATTGAGCCTGCGATCAAACGCTGAAATTCACTTTGTAGCTATTTTCTCAAGTCGAAAAATGCCGACAGCGTAACCGTTCGCTCTTTTCGCGTTCCATTTCATGAGCAAATATTGATTTTGTGCAGAAGTATGGTTGATTTTATTACATCGTTCTCGCATCAAACGATAACAGATGATAAGGAATTAATTTAGCGCCATTCACACATGCTCACGACGGCGTATACGGTGTGTAAAGGTTCAAGGGTTTCAACTGAAATTCATACAACGCATGCATCCATTATCAATCAATTAACTGATAATCAAATTTGTCATTGCTCGTTAAATTTGATGGGGCAAAACGTATCAAAATGATGCGCCAGTAGCAAAATTTGCACCGAGACATGAGATGATAAAAAAATCCAACCTTATGTTTCTTCTTCTTTCATTTTTGGCGATGATGTAAAACATTCGACTGAATCGAGAAGGTTTTATAGACGCAGCAGCACACACACACGCACACATTTTATGTTCATGTTTTTGGGAAGCAGCTCTTCACATAATAAAAAGGACATGGATGGAAAAGAGAGAATGGAGGGAATTGTAACTCTCGATGTTGCCCCGAGTGTTATCGAACATCTGCAGGCATCTCGTCACAATAGGTGACGCCGTTTGCTTTAGCTCTATACAGTTTGTTTTTTTCTCTTCATCCCAGTATCAACGCAAACACCTCATCCTTGCACACAGTTTTAAATGGAACATTTTCATATTTTGTTGTCGTTAAGTCTAAACGAAAATTACCAATAACTTATGCATATGTGGAACGGTGCTTTTTTTCGTATGTGATTCGATGCAAATCTGTGCGCCATGAAAAAAGTAAATATTCGACCGTTTACGGTTGCTGCATCGTGTTCTCATTCCGGAATGTAATCCTTCTATTTCATGGCACAGAGCCGTTGTGTATATACGTACATTTGCTGGTTCCATTGATTCCTTTTTCGATGCCATTCTCATTCGCCCCGTGCACGCTTACACATACACGCTCATGCTGGCATTCGTCGAGTACAAGCAATTTTCATGTTAAGTATGTATTTTATGTGCTGTTCTGTGCTCTATCCATTTGAATTTTGATTCCATGCGGTGCGCTGGAGTGAAAACAAAAATGTAACCCTCATGAATTGGCAAAAAAAGGAATCCATTCGGTTGCCTTCGTTGCATTTATTCTTTATTAAAGATCAAATAAAAACAAATAAAAAAGAAGAGAAACACCAACCGAAATGCGGGATTTTTTTCTTTCTCTTTCATTTCGTTTGATTTCCTTTATCAATTCCTGCTTTGGGAGTACTCAGTGCATTCAATGAATCGAAAGTCTATAGTTTCGGTGTTTTGTAAAATAAGACGATGAAAATGTAAGTACAATATGAATCCCAAGCCGGGAAAATGGGAGAAAAACCGCAAAAAACCGCACTTGTTCTCTTCTTTTTTGCTAAATTTCGCCTTATCCTGAATTGCAGCACAGGATAATGCATAGCATTTTCTTTTGACTATCGCTTCCGTTTTATTTCGCTAAATTTTCTTTGCTTCTACTTGAGTTTCAACACAGTCTACAATTTTTTTCTTTAGTTGTTTAAAGAAAGCAGACTCGAACATTTCACCGTATTGCGCGCAAATAATAATGAAGACACTAGGGTTTCCCATTTAATTCGCATAATGATAGCTTCCACTTTTTCTTCATTCTATTGTTGAATGCGAAGTTGAAACACTTCGTATCGCTCGCTGGAATGCCAATATTTGTATAGCAAACTATCAACTTCCAAGATTGCCATTTCTTTTGTGTGTTTGTTTCCGTACTTTTTTTTGCTGAAGCTTGATTGAAACTTCCACAGTTACCTCTTTTTTTTACTTCTTTTACCTACTCAAGTCAAAGCACACTGCAGATGGTATAGTTTCCATTTTGGTGATCTCGTAAACAAAATCGTTATGGCTTGGAATTGCCGCATATAAAATAGAATGTGCGTACGTCATATAAAATGGGCCTTTGTTTCGCGCCATGTAGATCGGCACTATTTATTCATGTAATGGATATTTATGGGTATGTTCTTTTTCGGTGATTTGGATTCTTACTGCCGACGAAGAATCTATTTTAAATGTACCAATCTGCCTGACAAGTTGACAACTCGGATGGTGTTTTTTCGGATGTTTTGCATTATATTTTGGTCACATCAGCTTTGGCTTTCGCATAACACACATACACACTACCGAAATGGTAAACCATCCGAAAAAGGAAAATGCGTATTGCTTGATTTAGTTTTCATTTCCGAAAAGAAAGTTGACAGCCGAAGGCTGACCCAGCACGTCGTCGTGCAAGCCATGGCTTTTATTTAATATCTCATTTTTAGAATCTAGTTGTCAACGAATGACCGGAATAGCTCAAAAAAGGGGGGGAACACATGATGGAGAAATGCGTGAATATTTTTGTTTTCTTCATGAAAAAAAAAATGTATGAAACATGCAAGTGAAATAACTCACAAGCAAAACCCATTGATCAACACCTACACTTCCGTTCAACAGAAGAAAGAAAAGCAGCATGAACATGAACGGCAAATGAAATTATCGAATCGATATAATGGTTAATGCCTCATATGGACGATTTTTATCACAAATTAATTAAG